ACTTCAAAGTGGAACTATGTTGTCTGCTCCATTGAAGAATCCAAAGATGTTGAGCATATGTCCATTGATGAGCTTCAAAGTTCCCTTCTTGTTCATGAGCAAAAACTCAATCGTGAAAATAATGAGGAGCAAACAGCTCTTAAAGCCTCTACTGAATTCTCAGGCATGAGAGGAAGAGGTCGAGGAAGAAGTGGAAGAGGACGTGGAAGAGGTGGTCGTGGAAATAGGGACAGCACTCACATTTCCAAGAGAGATGACAACTCTCAAGAAAAAGAAAAAGGGAAGTATGACAAGTCCAAGATCAAATGTTACAGATGTAGATACTTTGGTCACTACAAGAATGAATGTTATACAAAGTTACCAAAAGAGACRGGAGAAAAATCCAATTTTTCTGAGAAGAAGAATGAGGAAGAAACACTTTTGATGGCTTTTCATGCATTGCAGGAGCCTGATCAAGAGACATGGTATATGGATACTGGTTGCAGCAATCACATGAGTGGGTGTAAGTCTTCTTTGTTAAACTTAAATGAAGATTTTCGTTATGTTGTAAGTTTTGGGGATAAATCAACTGTGAATGTAATGGGAAAGGGGGATATTCAAATCAGGACTAGGAATGGTTCTATTGAAATCATTTCAAATGTTTTTTATATTCCTGATTTAAAAACAAATCTTTTGAGTGCTGGTCAGTTGCAAGACAAATGTTATAAAATCACCATCTTTAAAGGAGAATGTGAGGTGTATGGTCCAAAAAGAGGCTCCATTGCTATAATAAAAATGACTTCAAATAGGTTGTTTCCTTTGAAGATCAAAACAGTGCCAGCTTGCTTGTTTGTTAAAGAAGATGGCTTATCATGGAGGTGGCATCATAGATACGGCCATTTGAACTTTAATGGGCTGAAGACACTACATCAGAAGCAGATGGTTATTGGCCTTCCACTAATCACTCCTCCATAAAAAACTTGTGAAGAATGTATTATTGGCAAACATCAAAGGGATACATTTCCTAGTGGAAAAGCAGAAAGAGCTCGAGCTGTACTTGAGTTGGTTCATTYAGACCTATGTGGAC